CCAATGAAAATTATCCTTTCGTGTTCAAAATTCAGCAGCTTAATTCAAAAGAAAAATCCTTGATATTCACGCGTATTGAACACTAAGAAAGGGATTCTCCGCAGATTAATGGATATGTATCATTTCCTAGTCCTTATGGATAACCGTATGTTTCTTAAACAACTGGGTTGCTCTTCTAAATCCAATTCTTTCTGTTTTTATAATGGTGTAATATTATTAAGCGCTCAAACAACATTCTGAGGTGCTTTGTGTGCTCTGCTTCTACCAATGGCAAGCAGAAGGCCAACAACATATTCGTTTACAAAAACATCTTGAGCTGATTGCTTGGTATAATATTTGAATAATATAAGCAAAGATGGGCGCTAGATACCAGTGGGATCCAGGACGGGCGTTTTGTTCTATTTGGGACTCGTCGGTTGGATGTGCCTGCATACCGAAGTTGATATTCACTAAGCGAAGATACAAGCAAACTATACCAAGTAAACTTATTAATTGAGTGCCTATTATTTAGCTTACGTCAAGAATGCAAGAATTCGTATTGCATCGTAATCACTGTCACTTCATACGAAGGCTTTTTGGAGTCATTCAAATTATGAATCGGGCTTGTTAAACAAGATCAAAGTATTTGGTGATAAAGAATTGAAAAGAAAAGCATGAATTTCATCTATTTCATTCATTGCATACTGCTTACAATCTATCGTCTTTAAAAATTGGAACTATGTAGCAAATTAAAGACTTCTACATCAGCCATTTAGATTTGATAATTTAAAGTAGTTGAAAACGATTTTGTGATGTGATGATATATAGTCTGTGCTATTGGGGTAGCGAAAAGTCAACAGACGATTACTTACGAAAAATGAGCAACAATGAGCAGTTAGTTTGGAGCAATAAGTCAAATTAGAGTAAAGTGCCATGAAACCTGAGTCACCAATTTAGAGAAAGCGTAAAGTGCTGGAGATATTCGAGCTTTGTTAGTCCCTATACATGTAGCACCTTTTTAATCGAAGTATACTAATCCAGTCAGGCCAGCAGTCAGAAATGAAGAGGTTCGAAGATATTTTTCGAAAGGCTATCGGTATATCAGTATGAGTTTAATCTAAGCTGGCTAGCGGTAAGCGATGCGTAGCACCACGTGCTTATTCGTAATCTGGTGTGGATTCATGACCGGGCACCTCCAGCTAGCATCCATATCGAAGACATGCAGAACTAATAATTTTGGGGGTTTATTTACCGCTACAGCCCGCCCCTTTTTAGTGGTGTAATGATGACCCTAAGACGTGACCATCCAGTTTAGATTCAGCGAGCTTGTCATCGATAAACTCCCTTCTGATAGCTTGCCGTGCCCAACACCATGTGGACGTCTTCCTCTAATATGACGAGCCATGTGTTAAATGTGCCTGTGAAAAAATGTACGATGAAGAGTTCTACTTATCGTATTCCTCGTCGGTTTCCTACCTTTTGCATCCGTCCTGGAAAAATCGAGAAATTGTAAATTCTTTTCGAAATACACTCTTACGTGCATAAGAAAACGAAACGTGCAAAAAAGAGAAAAAAAACTGGTAGACACATAAACAGATAATATGCGATGGCGTAAAAAATTTCGCACAATGGTTCTTGACTTTGTACGAAAATGTATGCACGTATATATGAGCATATTATAAAAAAACACTTAGGCGCAAAGATACAAACATATGCGACAAAAATAAACGTTATTCAGTGTCCTACGCTCAATGATAGTTTACGTGTTCCAAAAACCTTATACTTCATCCAGAGTACGTCAGATAAACGAGACGTTTCGGCGTGAATAATGATTAGCAACAGACGTATCGTAATTGTGACGTTGGTGTTATTGGAATGTGGAGAAGGAAAAATAACATTATTAGCATGAGAAGTGCCTGTTTGGCTGAAAAGATGAATAACGATGACAATTTTTTGAGTTCGACGACTATGGTTTAGACACAATAGGAACATCGCCATCGACGACTGTGGAACACAAGGAATCCCTGTCGTTTTAAGGGATATATCTCCAAAGGTATTGAGTGATCTATCACTGTATTGCTCGGTTTTTCTGTGTAAAAACTGAGGTTTTCTGTTTATGTAAAAACCATGTTTTGCTTTTCTTTTAACTTATTTACAGTTACTGATCGTATATTCTTCTCGAGTCCAAAATGATAACTAACTGCTTGGTGATGATGGGTCTATTGACAACTGCCTAACCCCTGCTGGTTTCATGAATTTTTTCAATGAACAATCATTAATTTCTTATATTTGAAGAAACATGAGCTGAGACTTATTTATTTTTGGAATGGGATGTTGCTTCTTGATTGATAGGGATGTTTTTCAAAATGTGACAGTTGGGCTTCTTCAAGTGTCCGCACCAGATGGAAAGGTGCCACTGAGTACCTCTTCTATGCCATTTCGAAAGTTTTTGACTGTATCATAAGAAAATCACTTGCTGTTATACTTTTTTGAATTGCTGTACTCATGGGACCGCCACTATATCTTTATTTAAAAAAAACAAAATAACATTTTTTAAACGCTATTACGTGTGCTTGAGTTTATTTTCCATTTTTACGCCGACATTGTGTTTTTACGCACATACGAGTGTACTTCGATATGCACTTACATCCTCCTTTTTCTTCTCCTGGACGGCTGGAAAAGAACGATGAAGTTTACGAGGAGTTAAAATTTTCATTGTACTTTTTCTTTTTTTACTATGTTGTACCTCGGTCCCATATAGTAAAGAAAGACGACCAGACGCTGCTAAACCTAGTAAGCTATCAGAAGAGTGTTAACCAACGACAGACTCGTTGGGTTTAAACTTCTGGCTGGCCACGTCTTTGGGTCGCCACTGCCCCACTAGGGGAGAGAGTGGTCTGTGGCGGTAAATATATCCCCAAAATAAATAGCTCTGTAAGTTTTCAACATTGGATGCTGACCATATGTTTTAGTGGACTCATCTGGCTGAAGGCGCTCGGTCATGCATCCGCACCAGATCACGTGTGACAATGCTGTGCTCAACATCTACCGCAATCGCTAGCCAGATTAGATCAGAGAATTCCGATATATTGGTAATCGCCAAATACACTCTTCCGATCTCCTCGACTCTGTCTTTTGATTTCTCTTGGTGGGTACAATTTATATTAGAAGGTGTTGTTGGTAGAAGCGTTGTCAAACACTGAATACCTGTGTCATCTTCAAGTCTATCATTGACCGCGGCATCCTGAAGCACATAAATCTTGGATTTTAAAGGTTCCGAGGGGGACTAAGATCTAGCGTGTTTACTTAGCTTAACGAGGTATACACAGGTCAGAAATAAGCGTGACTATCGGTGAAGCGATTTACATCAACACCGATATAAGTGACACGGGTGAAGAAACTCACCTTTATCTGTCACTGGGTTGAAACAATCTTGAGGTTGGGATATGGTTTACCTATGCATTTAACTTTACTCCAGTGGCCTCTCACATCTCATGCATTCAAATTGTCTCTGAAAGATTCAACCGTTTTCATAAAGGTTCATTATATTGTGCTGTTGAGGTTGAGGAATCAGGTGCATTCTTAACAGTATAGAACAATTCTAAGTAGACATATAAGGGTGTTGTAAAGAGAAAGGTATTTTAACCTGAACTGGTTCTTGAGTCACTCTCGGTTTTAAACCTTTGTAAATGAGGTGAGTTTGGCATGAGTAATCAAAGAGATGCTGACAATAACAGATAACTTTGTCAGGGGGAATGATGCGTAGCAACGTCATCTGTTGCTAGTGTTTATGCAGGTGGCAACATATACCAAGATCTGTGAATGTTCGTGAGAAACAGATGTCAAAAGTAACGTATACTGTTTGCTGATATACATGATGTGGGATTTTGAAAGGTTCATCCTTAATTTTTGCCGGTGGGTACTTCTCTTCATATATATTGAAAAACCAGATTAGTGGTTGGACAGGTCTCTAGTCAGACTATGAATCAGGGCAGTTGGAGCGTGAGGTTCTCCTTCTCAAGCACCAACTTTTCAATACTCAGTATGAATAATACACATAGTGTCTATACAAAATAAGGAAGTAAACGAACGCTTGAGCTATAAGGATTCGACATTGCCCAGATGTTTTCTGCCAACTTATAATCAATCAACCTAAGTTGTTACCGATCTTCTCGATATACTGATAGCCCATCAAATACATTTTCAAACCTCCTCGCTTCTGACTTTGGACTTCACTGGGTGGATACGATTCATTTTAGAACGAGTTACTGGTTAAAGTGTTGTCAAACTACAAATACTTGTGGCATCCTTACAGTAATTAGCTTCATGAAACAAGCCATAGCGAAACCAGTTTCACTGGAAATTCACCTATAGCCACTCTGTGGCCGATGGAGATCATAATCGCTCATGTTGAGTGATGGATCTTGAGGTTGAAATCCACCAAAACGGCTACCCAAACGAATAGACACGACTTGGTCGTGTCTCAATTAGGTGAAACTCATAACGTACTATCTGTAAAACTCAAGTTATTTCAAAAACGTCGTTGAGATGACAACTTTGATTGGTAATCTTTTCACTTTACTAATTAAAATGGCTTGCAGGAATCTAGTGACGAGCCCAAAATAATGCAGATGTCATCAATAGATTGGAAGTTACGAAATCTGGTTGAAATAACGAAGCAAATTTTGGAATTCATAATCTTTATTAAGTTGAGGAGAAAATGTCTTTTGATTCAACAATGTAAAAGTATTAAAGTTGGAGAGTCAAAATTTAATACATAAGAACAATATTAAGGAATTAGCACAGCTGAAAAATGTGACTCAGTCGTTTAATTAAACGCCCTTCTATCGCTTATATTTTTGACAATAGAAGACGTTATCTGACTTGTGAAATGATATTAAGTGAGGTAGTCTCATTATAACTCGCTATTCAATATTATTTCTAAAGACGTTCTCGTGGTGAGATTGAGCGAGACCTGTTTGTTTAGATTCTTCTCAGTCATACTGTTTATGAATAGTGGTCGTTCGTCTATTTTTCATTATCTGTATGTGTTTCCACGATCCACCAACTTAGTTGATGTTCGGCGAAAATAGTTTTATAATCTTTATGTGTTTTAACATATATCAGTAGTTTTTTCATCTGCGGTTTCCCATTGAACACAAGTTGTCTTTGTTCACTTAACAATCACTAAATGTATATTCCTTTCGATTAAACTTTATCGTCTTAATAATCACTGAACAATTACGTCAAAAAATGTCTGTTGTTTTTGTCATGTCTTATAGATTACATACAAACTAGCATTTATATCTTTATTCTATAAATCATATCTTTTATATGGTTCAGTGATTTTTTTCGTTCCAAGTGATATTGTTCGATGAAAAGCCTTTTTATTTCTACTGTTCACTCAACCTCGCGCATTTGATTGCTGCTCCTGATAGTTACTGTTTCTAGATCTTTACATATGACTTCCCATGTAGGAAAACATGACGGACTATTAATAGAGAACTCATTCTCCAGGTTATTGAATTTGACACACGAACAAAAATAAGAGACGAATGAATGACCGCTCAAAGCTAGAAGACAGCCTTAAAGTCATCTTACAACAACTCAAATCTTTCAGCCCTACCATCCCAAGTGACTCGATTTTCGCTGAATTGAGGGACTCAATCAATTACGTGGTTCTTCAGTCTAAAAAATGTTTAAAATTCGTACGAAAAGTTTTGTCGATTGATAATTCCCTCGGAATTTTAGACGGATAGCAGCCTTGTGAAATCCAAACGAGAAATTTCAACCCCATGCTCAGACATCGATACTCCACATATCCCAAAGGGTTGGTGTCATGCATTTAATTATGATATACTACTTAGACTTTTGTTCTTTATGCCTCCCTTATGACCATTTTTATACAGGTCTTTTACCCGATGATCCCAATGGAAAAGACATTCAAAAATTACAAGGTAGTGCATTACTTATTTTTCTGTTTCCATATACATTTTATCCACGGCATTACGAAATTTAGATATTTATGCACGGTTTTGTTTTATGTAAACTCGATCCGAGACAATGACATTTAACCAATGGCTCATAAGGTTAGCATATTTTATTTTGTAGGTGACTTACGACTGATCACCTAGTGAGCCTTGAGAAAGGCTCTCATAATTTTTCAAGTAATTCGATCAGATTCAGCTGGGCGTCCTCCTTAAGCAGAAGGAAAGTTAAGTAGGTAAATATGAAGATAAGCGAACGATGTATATAGGCATAAAAGACTTGAAACCAACCGATTTGAAAGTGAATGTACAGTTTGGTTAGTTTTAAGTTAGAACTGGTTGCTGACTAAGATGACATAAAGAACTGCCGAAAACCAGCAGTGATAACTTAATTGATTTTGGTTTATGAACTCTTATTTGGTTAAGTCAGTGTCATTACATAATCACCAAATACGTAGCCTCGTACACTTTGTCACGATAATGTACGATTTCAAAGCCTCCTTAACATGTGATATGGAATTCAACTTTTTGTTAGTTTAACTTATTAACATTTCAAGTAAAATTACCTAATGATGTAAACTTTAGGAATCTGAAGTTTGGAAAATGTCTTACTTTGTTTCCTTTGTAATACACTGTCTCTATTAACGATACGTAGCTATTTGCTTTTTGCACTGATTCATTACCGTAACTTTAAATGGACACTCACGTCCGGTGGCCGTTTAGCTCATGTTTACAGGATGCTAGGTAAAAAGCTTTTGTTTGATTTTAGAATCTTTCTTCTGTCATCCTCGATAGCTATGGAATAAACATCAGTCTTAGAACATTTTAATCAACATGGCGTTTATCCTGACTTATAGGTAATAGTTTACAAATAGTTTTCCAACCGAATTTTTTAAACATTTTAATTGTAATTAAATAACCGTTCTGCCTCAACTCTGAATAATCTGGAGACTATAGTGTTCTGGAATTTATACGTGCCTACAGACAATAACTTTGATGTATAGTGATAAGTCATTGTATCGCTTAGATTATTTGATCATAGCTTGTTTGTCTGTAACATAGAATTTATCACCAAATCAATCTAAAAAACATGAATTTATACTTTTTATTACCATAGTCATTAATAAGACACATATCAAACACTGAAAAACTCATTAGTGGTCAAAAATATGGAGATATCACTTATCTTACAAGCACAGTCATTACTAAATATATACCAGCTGATATGTTAATTCACTGATGATTTGCTACCTAAGTATCTGAAATCTATTATTCTTGATTAGATGGACTGAGTAATATTAGTTGAAAAATATTTCGAACCTAATGCTTTTGCAATGATTTGGTCGAATGTTTGTTTAAATGTAAAGCGTAAAACGCAGATAAAATTTCATCTAACAGCGGAGCATCAGGACTATTAAATATTCAGTAACTTTTACCAAATGTACTGATTAAATTGTGAAATTATTCAATATGAATGAGTCATTACTGTGGATTAGGTAACCGAATATTAATTAAAAAACGGTAAGGGTTAAAGTAAAGTAACAGATCACTGAACGTTTCTTCTCTTCACTGTTTTCCCTCTCATTATAACGTTTTCGTATTTTAATCATGTGTTTATTAAAAATGTATTATTATGCAATTATAGTCTCCCATTTTAAATATCATTTCATCTAAACAGACGGAGAAATAGATGGAATTGTATTTAAGCTAAAGCAAAATGAATCAACCAGGAATTTTGTGAGAAGTGGAAAGAAAACTAGTCTTCACTATGCGGCTTATTGGGGCTCACAGACATGTGTACAAGTATGTTATAAATGCAGTTCTTTTTTTATTATACATCATTCCTTGTACAATAAGTGACAAGCATTGGTCGCCATGAAGCAGTGAATAAATTTATTTTTAAAAAGGTCCTTTGTTCAAATACCATTCTTTAATAACATCTACAACAAATGTGCATTCTCAGATATCTTTTACTGTTGAGTTTGAACTAGAACATTTTCGTTTCAGTGTCGTGAAAGTGAGGTTCTTTGATATTGACTTTTTCATAGTTGTAAATACATCTTCAAGATGAATTTTAGTTCAATTGTAGTGATTTTGACTATTAACTGTGAATTGTTACATATTTTATGACGGTGTAATAAATTGCATGATTTTATCTAGATCGTGGTATACGATTTTTGCCTATGCACCAAAATAATCCAGGGAAGAGCATAATTTGCACACTATCTTATGTATCTGTACAGTCATATTTGTAACTACCGAGATTACATAGAGTAACGTTATATTGAAACAGTAATGATATTTACAATTTAAAAACTTTATTTCACGGATATAAAGAGGTTTGTTACGGTTGATAAGGCGATTAAATCAACAGCAAATGAAAGCCATCCAGGTCGGTAAAGATTTTTTACAAGAGACGTGTATTTTATTATTATTATAGTTAAGCAGTCAGTTAGCCGCTCTAAAGAAGGTTACGTGCGACGTAGATTAGATGTAGTGAAGAGATGGCTATTATTAAAGTTAGCTTATCTTTAGTACATCCACCCACCAGTTTCAAACTGGAAAAGATGCTTCTAAGCTAAGGCCAAAACGTTTCAAAAAATGAACTCACACTGCTAAACGGTACGTACTGCTATCAGCAAAGATATGGATGCGTTTTTTTAAAACAGGAAAATCGTCATAGAGCAATGAATACTAGCGTCATAAAATGTAAGAGTAGCATTTAGCCCTTAGTCATTTGTTTTGACAGCCATGTGAAAATTTCTCGCGTAGGTGACCAAAAATAAAGTCTGGTATCTAATGGGCTAAATATAATGTACAATCATTGCAGATTTGTTTAAAAGCCTCATGCAAGAAATGAATGAAGCTGATATCGTTTATAAATAAAAGTAAGCACAATCGCCAGTACAAGCCATTTTAAGAAAAAATCACAAGAAATGATCTTTTCACAGAAACCCAATATCTCTTCTACATGACCAATTATTTCTTGTATACATAGCAATGATTGCCAATAAACGTTTCATTAAGAGTATTCAATCTTCCCAGAAAATGTGTTGGATGGTCAAACGTAGTTGATAGAGAAATTTAAGCATAGGTTTCATTTGGGTTGATACGCTTCAGAAAGCTGTGAGTGAAATTCTTATAAAACTAAAACTACCCTCTAGATTCTAATGCACATCACGTTGCTTTACAGTCTGAAGCAGTTTCTCTCAGTTGTTAGGGCTATAACTGGCTGCCTTTAGGGATGAGATATTTACGATGATTATGACTGAGTAATTATCAAAGTGACTTCTTCCTATCCTGAATGGAACGCCAGCATCATGTTTCGACTTCAGATTAAGTTGAAAAACCCATCGCTAATTCAAAACAAGGGAAAGGAGAATGACCTGATCATTTAACTTTCGAGGTTTTTATGTATGGTGGTACAATTTCCGCGTCTAAGCTGACTGAGATATTGACTAGGATATGAGAACTGAACGTAAACCCATCTGACTAGTCTCAACCGCTGATCGTTCCATTTTATGAAAAATGACAGACTGACTTCAAAATAACCGAAGAGGAATTAATATGAATAGTCTAGTGTCCAAGATATTAGTCTCGTGAAGAGTGAACCTGGATGAACCCGAATAAGTTCAGACTTGGATATGAGTGTGTAGACCAAATAATCACGCTTTGTCGGATGAAGCGTGTGATGGAATTTTTGTACTGATAGAAAGTTGGTAAGCTTTTGCAAATGTACTCCTCTTATGACGTAGGACACATTTGTCTACCAATTAAAAAACAAGAACCAGTTCGTTTCCTTTAAGTTTCTAGCTTTAAAAAGTTGCTTTCAAAAGTAGATATTTGTAGATTACTATTATTTTATAATTGCTTCCTTCTATGCATGGGTTCTGTGTGTTCGGACAGTTGTGTGAGTAGTGCTGTAACTAAACTCAAAATACTAGTTAAGTGTCAGAAGTCGACTCTTGACGTTACGGGCCTTCGATGATTAAGATGAACAAAACAGGTATTAAGAATTCAGATCCATCGCCTACCTTGATAAGTAATGTTGTGTGGTGTAGTGGTTTGTTGGAAGAAAACTAAAGGTAATAGACTCAGACATAATAGCAATCCATGAAGGCAGTGACTGTTCAAATGATTCATATAGGTAAGAGAAGTACACTTGGATGGGGTAGATGTGATTGCCTGCACCAATGGTTTTAGAAATTGCATAACATAGTTCGCAACAACTTAGGTGCATTTACTCTTTTTCTTTCTTTAATGCTGATATTCAAAATTATATATATTGATCCCATGAACTCCTTTCACTCAGAATCATATAGTCCATATCGAATAATTTTTTCTTCTGCTAATCTTACCGACTTTACTACTATGGAATTCATTCTGGTAATTTCACGGCGGTGCAAACTTTGTGTAGCCATTTGAATATGTACACATACGTGACGTGTTCTACGTTGAACAGAACTGACAGACTGTTTTTTGTGCGAGTGTTTCAACGTCTTAAATTTCATGATCAACGATGATAATTTTGACAATCTATTAAAACAATAGAATCTAAGATAAGGAATGACGTAATTCCGTACATGTATATGTTTAAACCGTAACGTTTTCAAGGATACAAAATGTCCACTGCATTTTTTTCTGATTTATTCAGCTAAAATAGGAATTTAATAGTTGAATTCAGGAGTCAATTGATGCTAGACCACCATGAAAAACCTGGAAGCACTGTACGGCCGTTTCTTTCTAGTATAGGACTCCTCAGCAGTGCGTATCCACGACCCCGCCTCGCGAGATTCGAACCCAGGACCCTCTTCGATCAAAATAAGGAAGTTGTTGTAATTACAAATTGCTTTAAGATAAACAACTATGGAAAACCTGGAACTACCAAAAAACTATTTTGCTAAAGCTAAATTACAACGTGGGTAACTAGAATTCATGCCTCATTAGTAGCACCAGGTTTCTCAAGATTACAGATACATTTCCCTTACCAATGACGTTTGCGTTGTAAACGAGACCTAGGTTTAGAACCTCATACTGATTGTTTACAAATATATCAAAGCCATATGTGAAAAAAATTATTGGAAACGTTCTCACATGAAAAACCAACTTCAGAAATAAATTTAATCAAGAAAACATATTATATCGCTCTCTGAAAATACCAATATTCGTAAACAAATTTTAAGCATAATACATCGAAATATTTGTTACTGTTAATGTACATTTCATAGAAGCAAGATGACTTCGTTCCAGCTAATTCTTAATGACCAATACAAAAGTACTAAGTAATAAATTTCATACAAATATATTTTTTACTATAAATTAGATGTATCGAATTCATTTCCAAATATACTTTGAAGTACCACTTAAATAACTTATTAAATATTTGTATTTATAGACACGTGAAGAACTTTATTAAACACTTTATTTGAATTGATTTATGTCAGCATGAGTCAATATTCTTAGTGCTCAGGTTGATTTTAGGTCACAAAATGGTTAACCTTAACTAAAATTAATTATATATTTACAGGGTTATTTAGTTTCAATTGACTATAGTTACAGCATTGCTTTTACAATTAACTATCTTAAATTAGATAGAAAATCCAAGCTAACATATTTTGAGTAGATTATGCAGAAGAAGAGTGCAGAGAAAATATATATTGATTTTAAAATGATTTGTTTATTTATATTTGTGACAAGACAAATACAGAGTCTGTCAACTATAGTACTCAATGATGATACAAAATTATATAGTTTGATTAAATTAGTCGAGCACAAATATTATGAAAACACAATTTTGTGTTTTAATATAATGGGAATTTTTCAGCGATTTAAATATTATAAACTAAAATATTACATCATTGCTTAAAATACCGAGTGAGAGATTTCGGTAGTTTTAATGCTTTTCAATGTTCAACTCTTCAGTTCAGTTGTGTTTTAGCCATAAATTTATATCTTCAATTAAATCCTAATTAGTAGCAGTTGTTGATAGATTGTTACTGTCACAGATATTATTGACGGAGGTCCTTATTGACATTTAGGGAATACAATATTTTAAAGCTTCAGGTTTTTACGAGCTCCATCAGATGGAGTAGCTATTCAGAAATGAAATTTCCGGTAGACCGAAAGCAAAGAATTAGACCAAAACATACCATTATTATGTAAACTCACTGACTGCTCTTCTTTGACAAAAAGATCGGCGAACTCTGTAAAGCTAAGGCTTAAATGACATTTTATTAAACTTGTCTGTAATATTATCACATAACATTTGTTACTTTACCTTTATTGGTAAAAGTGTGATAATCTGCTCTTGAGGATTTTTTTTCAGAATTTGTGATATTCTGAACAGACAGAACATTTTTAGACAGCTTAGATGTACATTTCTAATACTTATGATACCTGAATACATACAGATATGTTCTCCATACATTTTAATAAGAAAACCAAAGTATTTTGACAGTTACTTCACTTTCTACTCTAAGATAACATTTCTGATTCCACTGTCCAGAAATTAATTAACGTAGATTACAAAGTAGTTTTCTTTAACATCCTGAAATGACATCATTTCATTTCCATAACTTTAATGACTTGAAAACTTGTAAAAGCACTCTCTAACAGTTCGACGGATTAGTCTTACAGTTACGTTTTTTCATCAGAGATTTGAGCTAAATTTTGTATTAGTAATTAAGAATGCATTATGCCATATGGATTCGAATCGACAGTAGTATTTCCTATTTGGTTCACACTACATTAATGAACACAGAAAACTAATCTGTAGTCTAACTTTTCAATTATTATGTTACAGTCTGTTTAAGTGATGGTCACAATTGCAGTTTTTTTAAGAAATGTTCTTAAAAGATGCATTCATACATAGTTCAAAGGAAAATTATTCTGAGTCTCTATTACAATAAACTTAAAACAGGTCTCTCATCAATATTTATATTATTTTACCTTCTTTAACTTGTAATTAAGCTCTGATCTCAATTGACCTGTTCCACTTCTGTTATTTCAGATTCAGGTTTGTTCAGCTTTTTGTAGAAAAAAATATTGTAAAATACAGCTTATAGTTTCAGTAGTAATGATATTTTTTAATACATTCTAGACATTGATACTACAGGGCTCTGATCTTACTGCTCGTGATGAATATGGTCTAACACCAATTATATGGGCTTGCCAGTCGGACCGATTAGGAAATCTAGTAATCTTGTTGAAGGTAGGTTCATTTCCCTACTGTTTTGTGAAAAGTATGAAAATTTCGCCTACTCTTAGTTTGCTCATCTCAGTTACCAGTAGTTTTTAAATGCATATCATTTTTGTAATTAGAACGATTACCTAGTGAATCAAATCAGATTACACTAGAATGCATTAAAACTTTGATTATTCCTTTATTTTAACTAATTTAACTATAGGCAGCTAAAATTCGAAGTGTTCCAGAAAAACAATGGATGTATGATAGTAGCGGTTATCATTTAATACACCATACTTTATTAAAAGATGATCGTTTAAAATGTTTAGAAGTGAGTTATCTTGTTTTTCTGAAAATAATCTTTGATTATTTCTAAAACTATTTATTTTATATTTATTCCATTAGAGATTCAAATACTAAACAGAATTTCTAAACTATTTCAAAGTCTCATGAAACTCTTAATTATCATCAATGAATTACTTTATTTTAATTAAACAAGATTATTTAATAAAGGCAACCTTAAAATAAAACTTTATAGTTTCTAGACTGATAAACATAGCAACGAAATTGGTCATCTGTTCGACTTGTTGAATTTTTGTTTTATTTTAAGGGAAGTAAAATTAAAGATTATCGGATTTAGATAGACGACACATCTGGTGAACAAAATTCCTTTTAGCACCCTAACGAAATAGTGAGTTGATTAAAAGCTTATAGTTCTCTGGATTGTGACCACTTTATTCATATTTTTTTCTTTTTGAAAGATAGGTATCATTACCAAGGTTCGACTTGATAATTTCGAATAAATTGAGCATTGGGTAGATTGTTATAAATAAATTAGTATATTTGAAATATCCAAATGATTAGAAAAATTAGATTTTCTGACGTTTCGTGACTCAGTGTAAGTCACTTCTTCAGATAATGAATAACCAAATCGAAATTAATTCAGGTTTAAATAGTACAAAGGAACGACAAGAAACTGATTTTTCTACCCAAATATATTATTTATTTTTGATAGTTACTTTTAAATAAAATAAAGTATCTAAAGACTGTCATATAAACCTTAATAACTAGCTTTTCTTATTCTTCTTGCTTGTTTGACTGAACTCTTGTTTTTATTCATGGATCATATGTTCATTTTAGATCCTAACATCATACATGACACCAGTATTGTTCATCGAAATTCACTGAGATGTATCTAACCGGTACTTGATAGTTCTTAAGAATTTGAACGCTTATTCAAAAAGGCCTTGCCATTTTATTCATAGTGGGTTATAAATTATTATCAGTGGCCGTCAGATACAATGTACTTTTCTTACAGTTAAAAGTCTTTTCAATGTACGTTATATTAGTGTAGAAAATGAAATCATCTTCATGCAGTTAAGCCGACTGTTCATTATTACTAGTTATTCTGAATATTTAATATCTTGTACTTAACCACTGTTATATAAAATATTTTCACTTTACTCATTAAATCCATTAAAAAACCGAATTGTTTAAAATTTGTCATAAGTTCAGTTCCCATAATGTCGAATAACATACTTCATCTAGGAATCGTTCAGTTAACGTTTGGGAGAATACCATGAATGAATGTTCTCGAAAAAATTGTTGTTTCTGATTACTAGTTGATAGATCACTATCAACTCTGAACCAGATATTATCATTATTCATTATGATCTGGGGCTTCCAGAAGTTTGGAGAAACAAAACTCAGCTGCTTCAAATAAGATAAGAATTTAAGGGAATAGATGTTGTCTCTGTACTTGTATTTCAGCTTAAGACATCAAAATATTATGTGTGTTGTGAAATGAAATACTCGAGCAGTGACTTCTAGCAACAAATTAGAAACGGTATCTATGGTTTGCAAGAGTCTAACACCTCTCTTAAATACATGTCAGATTGGAAGGTCCGATTTTAGCGACATATCTAAACTGTGGTTGGATTAAATACTGATCTAAATCCAGTTAAGCTATTATTAGAAATGCTTAATACATTGTTTAGAGTTTCTATATGAGCATAATAATGACCTATCTTCTTCGTGCAATACCTATTTAAAATAACGTTTTTAAAAGTCATTATAATCATGAAGTCCAAATTTCTGTTTGCTGTTGCTTGAGTAACTTGTGAATAACTTTACCACAGAAATTTTATCCCCAAAATGGTAAACAAAATTTATTGATTATTATTATTATTATTTTAATAGTCGTTTAAACACTTAAAATTAATTTCTACACACTATTAATTTTAGTATTTATCAAACAGTGAGTATGGATTAAACGTAGATTCAGAAGGTCAAAATGCACTTCATCATGCTGCAATGAAAGGCAAGTTATTTAAAGAAAAATAAAATTTCCTACAAAATATATTACTTTGAGGAAAAAGTGAACGTCACGGTAGTGACATATTTTTCTGATGTCAGAGGATCATAAATTATGTTGAATAAGTATCAAAACATGATAAACTTTGCAAGATCTTTTCCAAAATAATACAAAGTGATGTTCTGTTTAATTTTATGAGATTGACGAATACATTTGACATACCTCTCTCTTTTGCATTACATGGCATACTGGTTAGCAATGACTGATACCTTTGTGAGTGGATAACGTTAATTATGTTACTTCCAAAGTTGTGACTTTATTAATTCTATTTACATTCAAACAGATACGTAGAATTATGACAAAGGGAATCTATTAAAATAAAACGTAATTGTAGCAGAACAACACTTCAAATGACCAAATACAAAAATGTAATCAATTGAACTGAAGTAAACATTGAATCGGCAAAAATGCTTGGCAGACATATGTATTATTCTCATTATTGATTAAAGGTATATGTTTGAACGTATCTAAAAGAAAACCCTGGACGTGCCAAAATTCATTCGTAGTTTCGAGGCAACTGATGCCCTTCTCAGAGATTCGAAGTTACTTTATATTATCACTAAATTTTCACACACCATTGAACTATTTCAGTACCGTTATTCCATCGATCTCTATTCAGTTTTTGATAAATCTGACTGATATTAAAAAATTACGATAGAGTTTGTTTAAAATGAAGCGATATCAAATCCCAATTGAAAATGTATCTTAAATGAGCTTTTATTGACAAATAAGCGTTTTGTTTTAAAATAATTAATCTCTGTAAACAAATAATAACAAAATAACCTATGTGTCTGTAATGAATTTATAAGAGTATTGGCCAGCCAGCAATCCAACTCTGCCTATAAATTACTATTTATTCTCCTACTATGTAAACTTCAAACTGGTCACTTGATGAGTTTCATGGTTCTAGAAAGGTGTCAAAATTACATTTTACCGGTTAACTTATGAACTTAACATGCGCATTCCACAATTTCAGATACCGTTATATGGATATATGACAGCAGAAGAAATGACTTTACTATCCGATTTTGTTTTATAATTACTTATAATATTTAACTCATTTTTTATTGCTTATATGAATCATCCCATTAATGTCTAGGACTGCAATTGACCAGTCTCTTATTGGCATATGTGTATCCTGTGCGGATCACCTTGATATCGCCTTAAATTACAAGCTTCCTATTTAGAACTTGTCAGTCGGATGCGCCAGCATCCCAGAGTTGATATTCACTCCTGGACTCAAACCCACTACCATTTGCTTCAAACGTCATCGCGTTATAGAATTGTCTACTAAGTCAAGCAGGCACATCCAACTTCTAATATGATGAAAAATTTTAAATAATTAGTGGAGATTATTTGATTTTAAAAATAGTTTTTATTTGTGAAAATTATATTTGAAATAATCTCAGAGATTGGACTTTAAATAATTCCAACGTTTCCTCCAACAAATTTGTCTAGAATTCTTCAGGATTACAATCAAAATCAAAATTATCAAAGAATATATAATATTTAACAATCAGCTCAAATATTTATTGTGCTTACCTCGCGCCTAGTTCAGGATGATTGGGAATACTCTGACTCTGGATGGAGGCTCACCATTGCACCTCTATGGGTTGAAACTCACACTGGACCCTAACCTGGTGCACTTGGGCGCATAATTTTGGTCAGATAGAAATCTAATTACCCAAAAAATGCCTGTGCATAGAAATCGTCTTAATTTCAATATAAACGGACAACGATTATCACCATTCAGTATTATACCTGCAATAAACCAGCTTTGAATTTCTATCCTAATGAAACAGCGAATGTTGTGAGCAATAAAATACTGGTCACTTTATAACATCAAGAAACATACAGTTTAATCTAACTAAAAAAGAATTATATGCGTTAAAACAGCTAAGAAACGACAAGAAAATTGTCGCTACGAGAGCAGATAATGGGAACACGACTGTCATCATGAACATCTCAGACTAAAAGAAAAAATCCAGAGAACGTCTCCAAGACGGCCTGTATGAATTAATTAAAGAAATGAAAATTCGGATTACACCTAATAAACTTAAGGCTGAATCTAGTAAAACCTTACAGTCGACTAAAATGAAACTAGGACTGTCATTATTGTTCGTATTATATCTAAAAAGTTGAAACCATTGTACATTCTATGGACTACCAAAGATTCACAAGAATAGTACTCCACTAAGACCAGTGGTTGATTTTACAAATTCGCCGACATATAACCTAGTGAAATACTTAGCTAAGATACTCACACCTTATGAAAAATTGATTAATCATGGAAATAAAACTTTACTGATTTCAAGAGCAATGTATATACCATCCTTATAGAATAGGGTGAAATGATGGCAATTTTTCATGTTTCTTCCTAATTTACTAATGCACATATTGACAGAGTATTGGATATTATTTATAATTGTTTAGAATCTGACTCAGATTTGACTTTACGACGTCTGTTAGATTCTTCCAAAGTTATCAAGTGTCTGGAATTGTGTTTACGATCCACATTATTCTCATTTCGATGAGACCTTTACAGACGGAAAGGTATGGCGGTGGATTAACCAGTTTCTCCCATTGTAAAGAATATATTCATGAATTCCCTAAAAGCCAATGCGATCACAAAATGTGTAAATCCACCAAAAGTTTGGTTACGATATGAAAATGAAATTTCCATCATCAAACGAAGTGGTTCAGAAGAGGTGTTTAAAAATGTAAACAGCATTTTGGAGGGCATCAAGCTAACCGAGGAAAGTGAGTCCACAGACCAAAAACTAGCTTCTCTTGATTGTTTGATCGAAAGAAGACATAACAATAAGTTGAAAATTAATATATTCAGGAAATCAACACATTCTGAGAGATAATTAGATTACGGTTTCGGCTCATGAGTATTGTACGAAAGTCATAGTTGTAACGAAATAAACTAACAGGAGTATTGATCTGATTATGGAGAAAGAAGACTAACAAGTTGAACTGAATGGAATTTTGTCTACACTTACGGCTAACGATTACCTGAGAGAATTTTCAAAGATTATTAGAAATGAAAAAAAACTAAATTAAAGTGTGTACCAAAAGACTGGAAGTCCACCGTGATCATCCCATAGTGTAGAGAAACATTGGATGAACTTAAGAAAATTCTAAACAAACATAAGAGTGTATTTTCGGGCTAGTGACACCATAAGATCAGCATTAGTGAAAGTTAAGGATAGGTTTCCAAAGGAAGAACAACAGAATGTTATTTATGCGATCAATTGTGATAAATGTAATGCAACTTATGTGGGAGAAACTTCTAAACGATTGAATGTGAGGTTGAAGGAACACAAACAATATTTAGGAAATGTTCCCGAATCCTCGGTTGATCTGAAGAAACATAAGAATAGGTCGGTGATAGCGTGATATGATTTAGAAACAGGACACAAGACCAATTTTGAAGGAACCAAGATACTTCAGAAAGGTTTTAACATACATAAAGAAAGATTGATAGCAGACGTGCTATATATATGGGCGAATAAGAACAGCCTGAACACAAAGGGTGGTATTCAACTAGCAACTACTTGGCAAATATTCATTAACAAGTAATTGGACCTATTCTCTATCCAACCTGTTTAGTTCACATGCATCGTTACTCTAACTGAAATTAATGTGGTTTGTTTTAGCAATACAATTATATATTCGATAGTTCTCATTTTACGCGAACATCGTTTGTTCAAAAACAATTTCAACCTTCAACTTGTACTTTTATTTACTTACTTACATACGCCTGTTGCTTGTCGTGAAGGAGCATAGGCCAACCACCAGCATTCTCCATCCAACCCTGTCCTGGCCAATCATTTCCAGCTCCTTCCAGTTGTTATTCATCCTTTTCATATCTGATTCTATTTCCCAACATAATATGTTCTTTGGCCTTCCTCTTTTCTTCTTCCCTTCAGGATTCCAAGTCAGGGCTTGCTTCTTGATGTAGTTTGATTATTTGTGTAATGTATGTCCTATCCATTTCCATCGTCTTTTCCGAATTTCCTCTTCAACTGGAAGCTGGTTTGTTCTCTCCCACAAAAGGCTGTTGCTGATGTAATCCGGTCAATGGATGTTGAGTATCTTGCGTAGAGAGCTATTTATAAATACTTGTACCTTCTTGATGGTGGGTTTTGTAGTTATCCAAGTTTCAGCTCCGTACATACAGTAGAACTGCCATGACGTTCGTATTGAAGATTCTCAGTTTGTTATTGGTTGAAAGTTGTTCTGAGCTTCATATGTTATTCAGTTGTAGGAATGCGGCCCTTGCCTTGCCAATCCTCGTCTTTACGTCTGCATCTGAACCTCCTTGTTCATCGATGATGCTTCCCAGTTATGTGAAGGATTCTACATCTTCCAGAGTTTCGCCATCAAGTGTGATTGGATTGCTGTTCTTCGTTTTGAATTTGAGGACCTTGGTTTTCCCCTTGTGTATGCTGAGGCCTACTGATGCGGAGACTGCTGCTACACTGGCTGCCTTTATCTGCATTTGTTCATGTGTATGTGATAGGAGGGCTAGGTCGTCTGCGAAGTCCAAATCGTCTAATTGGTTCTGAGCTGTCCATTGTATTCCATGTTTTCCCTCAGATGTCGATGTCTTCATAATCCAGTCGGCCACTAGAAGAAAGAGGGAGGGAGAAAGTAGACAGCTTTGTCTGACTCCGGTCCTTACTTGGAATACATATGTCAGCTGCCCTCTATGCACAACCTTGCACTGTAATCCGTCGTATGAGTCCCGGATAGGCTTGAAAATCTTCTTAGGAACTCCATAGTGTCGAAAATGTTTCCATAATGTTTTTCTATCTACACTGTCAAACGCCTTTTCATAATCAATGAAGTTGATGTACAGTGACGAGATCCACTCAACTGACTGTTCAACGATGATCCGTAGTGTCGCAATTTGGTCTGTGCACGACTGATCCTTACGG